TCTCACTGATATGTTCCTGAGGACCTGACAAATAACAACCTGTTGTCCCTTCAACTTTGACACACCACCCCCCCAACCATGCCAGCCAACCCCTCTTTCCCAACAAAGGTGATACCATTTCAAATAACAGGAATAAATGGCACCACCAAATACATTTCTGATACCTGCGTTAAGCTGCATATCTAGAGTTTTGTTGGTATTGAAATGTTGCAAAACAATACTGGTAGAAGTTCTTAGCACAGGCATGAGCTTTGGGCTGTCTCTCACTGGAAGTCTCCATCCTTCCAGTGCCTGATGCCCATTGATTTCAGGAGGATAGGTGACATAAGTAAATGCAGTGTGAATCAGCAGATGAAAGCTCTGAATGGATTTCAGGGACGGGGACATAGAGTCATGGCAGCGATAGCAGGAAGGGACCTCTGGGGTCTCTCGCCCGCCCTCCCACTCGGAACAGGACTATTGCCAACAGTAGGTCAGTGAAGTTGTAGCCTTGTCTAGCTGAGTCTTGGAAATCCCCAAGGATGAAGATGTCAGAGTCCACAGGTCTTCAACACATTTTTTTTCTGAGGAACACCAAGAGTGGGGCGAGTTCAGTTTTTTCACAAAGGGACTCAATTATTTAAAAAGGAACATCAGATAATGGCATTTATCATTCTTTGTCTAAAAGCTTTCCCTTGATGTTGAACCATTCCACATTCAGCCACATTCTTTTTCCTGCAGTTTTGTCTCTTCCAAGATGCGGCCAGACTACAGGCCAGCCCTGCTGGAAGCAGTGGGAAATACTGTCACTCCTTCCTATACAATCACTTTCTTCTTAGGTGGACCTGAGGCTCTGAACTATGCCCCGTGTTCTCCAGGTCAAACATAGACTCTCATGCATAACACTTCTTTGCTGCAAGAGAAGGACACAGACACGCACTTCTGGTGTGAAACCTACCCTTAGTCAATTCTGCTGCTCTTAACATCATTCCGTCACAAAATCTCTATGTGTTGGGTCACAACCTTGCTAGTACCTAGCCACTGGGCAGCAGAAGAATATGAAGTACATATAAACTCACCAAAGGAACTTCTGTCTTTCAGGGAGTCAAATACATTTACTCAGAACAGTGACTGAAGTTGAAATAAATCCTAGCTTCCAAGCACAGAGGATTATTCCACTAAGCATAAGGCAGAAACAGACCTTCTCTGTAGGGATGTAACTTCTAATTATGTATTGCTCCCTGCAGCCTATATGCTAGGATCATTATTATCTTCCACGTTTATTAATCAGTTACCTGATGTTAACAAGAAGATAACTTCTAGGAGATATGCAAATAATTCTGCAATTTTCTTTTCCAGTGACTCAGCATTCGTATCAGAAATGTGTTAACAGGATACAAAGGCTATTAAGAAGCCCCCTGTGTAATTATCATCTTCCTTGCCTCCAGTTCTTAATAATTTATGGAGGAAAATGGGTGTTTTCTAATAGATACTCCATTTTGCCAGAAGAAAAATTGTGTAAGTTATCTTTTCTTCTTTTTAAAATCTCATTTCTTTCGTTTTCCCTTCTCTAAAGACCTGTATCTGAAATTTTATTCAAATAAGGCAAGGTTAAATACTCTCAGTGGAAAGACTTTGAACAAGTGAAAGGAAATGCGTTCAGCACTGAGGAGGATGGACTGGCACCAAGTTAAAACATGAGTGTCGTGTTGAGAGTTAATAAAGCACCTGCAGATTACTTTTCCATATTTTCTCTGCAACATCAAGGGGAGGCATCCAGGACAGAACACTGCGCTTCGAATGAGTTCATGTTACTGTCACAGAGAGGCAACTGAAGCGATGTTAAACCAAAATGGTCCCATTCACCCCGTTTATCTGGGATCAAGTGCAATAAATTGATGAGCATGTAATTAAGTCATTGGAAAATGCATTAGTATGGAGAATGGTTTTTTGGGGGCACCTGTTCTCCTGGGTGACATGATAACAGTACACATCCATCTTGTGCTTGCTGTGCTGGAGTTGTTCAGAAGAAAGCTTGTCTGGGCTACCAAGAGCTGGGGCACTGAGCTCTTACTTGGTTTGTTGTGTTTGGTTTTTTTTTCCTGTGCAAACACAGCTCTGTGCAAGAGCTTTGCACTTAACTGTTTAGTGACATGAACTTAAAAAATGAACAACTTCATAGATAACTCCTACCCTTGGTATTGCTTTCTTCACCTTCCCCTTGGTTTTGCTTTCTTCACTTTCAGGTGGTACGTTTTCCTTTGAAAAATCACACCTTCAAGAAGCAAGGAAACCCACCCTGGCCTAAGTTTCCAGTATTTAACCCCTTGATGGTCCTTCTCCCATGAAAATCTCTCTGGGACCTAAAGGTCCCCCAAGGATGGCAAATCCAGCAACCTCCCCACCAATAACAAGGTAACAGAAAGATGACCTCTTTTCAAATGGCACAGCAGGCAAAGATGGGGCAAAAACTTGGGCAAAGCTAGGGAAGGAGATCCAGCAGAGAGAAATACTCCTCTGCATGCTCCACCAGCCATGAAACGTTCTTGCTTAAAGGCATCTTGCTTAAAATATCCAAGCCAGAGGCTTCTGCATGAAACATCCCTTGTGATGGGTATTCATTTCAAAGGTGTGCTCTGAATGGGAAGATAACACTGCAATCAATTTGCAGAGGTTACCTGGAGGAATAAGAATATATTCAGCAGATAATAAAATAAGCTCACTATGATGCCATGCAGAAAGGGCACACTCTCAGAAACACACAGGAGAAGAAAAGCCATGCTTGTAAGGACCCGGAGGCTGAAACAGAGACAAGAAGGATGGGTGTGATGCCTGCATATGTACCTATATGGGACATATCAAACCACTTGACAGATCTAAACCTCAGCTCATATACACAAGCACAGGCCATTTCGCAAAAAGCCTATACCTTAGATTTTAGGAAACTGCATAAAAACAATTCCAGAGCCAGACTCTGTGTAAAGCTAACCCCTGGGCTTTGCAAAGCAAACCACCGCTCTTATCAGCGCCTAACAGATGAGATACTCTTTGGAGAGCCACGCTGCCAAGACACCCAGTCATGTTGGCAGGACAGTGTGCCAAGCCTTTCCAGCCCCCGCTGGCCTGGATTCCCATGACTTTGGATGCAGGCAGGTTGGCTTTATTGCTGGGGCTGTATCAATTTTCTCTTCCTCTTGGCAGGCATGCATTCATGGCTCAGCACAAGCCATCTCGTGTCACGTTATGACAAGACAGGGGCTGTGACCTTAACAGCCACATGGTGCTGCACGTGTATTTCCAACTTCCCCGCGTTGCCCAAGACACTCTGCAATCAAAGCACAGCGCTGACGAGGTGAAGTCAAGCAGGGAAGCCCAGGGAATGCTGAAATTGCAGCCGGGCGCCCACCATTAACGCTGCTGCCCCCCGGCACTGCCCTGACCTTAAATCTTTTCACCCCATGAGCATGGTCCTGCTAAGGTTTCTGCACTGCTCTGTGCATCGCAGAAGCAGAGCTTGATGAGCTGCTGGCTACTGGATATTTTGGGAGGTCCCCGTGGAAATGGCAGGGATAAGCGACCCCATGGGGACCTACTGGTAGGGCAGGCACAGGCTCGCTTGCCAAGGACGGCATTCGGGCACCTCAACCCCACATGCCCCCAGCACCCCGGGGGGGGGGTC